GTAAATCCAAATCTAAAGCTCAGATTTTTAATATAAAGTCGCGACCTTTTCTATGGAACCACTCCCTAGTGTAAATTTTCAAAATTTGTTTAGTGTAAGTGACCTTGACGGGTTTCTGGGGGAAAACATATGTGTCAAAAATTTGACAGGTTAGATGGCCCCATTGTCAATGTAGATATTTTATTTTAATAAATAGCTGAACAGAACATACAGTCTGCACGGGATACAGTGCGGCATAAATGAGGGCAACCGAAACATTCGTGTTGTGCTAGTTTCGATTGCTATATCCATGGTAGAAGGAGACATGGTATAGGCATCCGATGTACCAATTTAAAAATGGTCTGCGCATCCATTTGTGACGTTAGGTGGCATCAACGACCTTGTGACTCTTGTGAGCTTCTCTAGGGAAGTCTAGGGAATTTCAGCTTGAGTTGTCATTGCTCTGTCCAATACGTCAATTAGTTGTCGGATAACGAATTGTATTTTAAATTTCGCGCTAATTTCACCCCACTTGACGTCACACCAGATGCGTATGCCTATACCATGTCTCCTTCTACCATGGCTATTTCAACTACGCTACCAACCGCGTTCGACGTAAAGTACTAGATGACAGGGCTACCAACTTGACTTTTTATCGAGTGGTTCCGTAGAAATGACCGCTACTGTACATAATTTATAAATAAATTTATTATTTATATATGTTTCAACAATATATCTCCAGGTTGTCTTTTTATTGATGATTCATCCACCAGTTGATTGTTGGTAATTTGTTATTAATTAATAGAATTCCCTACAAATAGCCTGACTCAAGTTGACAGTTAAAGTTGTAAATTGACGCATGCAACTCCTTTGGTTATAAAACACTTGATAAAGTTGCAGTCTATCGAATGCACACTAAAATAAAAATTGTCTTTCTGCTAATTCCAGGCTCATCAATTAGACTCACCACAGAGACGACGACCTTGAAACGTGGATAGCTTTTTTCGGTGGGAATAAAGCCTCGGATTTACACTGTCGCTTTAATTTACGTGATACACTAATGTAGATTTCGAATACAAGTTTACTTGAGTATTTACTGACAGAATGTTTACTTTGAAGATAATTTGCAGTGTTGGTGGATTCATAACAAAAATAATGCAGCAATAAATAAACTCAGTTCATCTAATATCTAATAACACAGCACACGCTAATAACAGTCTGCTTTCCATGATAACATATACACACCGTTAAAGATAAAATTACACTAGGCGAAATGATTTTCTAACATTAATAAATCCTAATGGTATAATTCATTTATTGTATTTTATTTATGAATATGACTATTAAATGGTTCTGCCACATCACATTTTAAATTTGGTTACAGTCGTCGTTTTTATAGTATATTACGTAATGAGAGTTGTAAGAAGCATCTTACGCACGAATGGAAAAAGTTGCGCACGAGCTGCGAAGCGGCGAGTGCGTATTTCCATGAGTGCGTAAGGGCTTTACAACTCGAATTATGTACTATACTTTTTCTACGAGCACAGACAAAGAAAAAAATATTTTATTCATAAACATTAACATTTTAGTTTTATTAGATATTGTAATTATTTGTAGTAATTGTTTATTGTCACTGTACAGTTGTTAAATACAAGGGAATGGTCGGTAGTATTAGTTTTGTGGCTACTTGTACTCTGACTACAGGATGCAGTTACATTATGTTCTGAAATAGTGACATGGTTTCATTGTAGTTGACAACTCTTCAATATATGCCAACATTACGTTTTTTGACAACGAATTTACTTTATTTTTTATTTTCCATTCCATAAATTTCTAGCTAAAATTTGATGGTTTTGTTGCTCTTTCCGAGCCCGTAGGGTATCTGAGTGGCTTAAAAGTACAAGAAAACACTTCAAAAGTGACGTTTCTGAAGAATTTTAACAATTTTCTTGTATCTACGAACGCCAGAATGCATAAAATTGACCTAATATCTTCATATCTTTCACGACACTTTGTGGGCAATAGATTGTCGATAGCCGTTTTGGCCTTTTCAATTATCTCCGGCGACGTGCACATTACTTCATCACTATCGCTAGACATTTTAGACTACAATTAAATAGAATCCGTTAAAAGAGAGAAATGTTGATATTTTTTGCAGTAAATGTTACTTTGTTCGTTTTCTTCTTTTAAAATTCTTTGATTATGCCTCTTTTATTAACAGTAACGCTGACAGTGCTTCACAATTTTGTATTTGCCTGTCCGTATTGTCATTTTCACTACCAACCTAAACTGAATAAATCGAAAAATCCCTAACTGTGCGATTTGCTTTTCTTACGCACGCTGTGCGTAAGGACACGCATACATGATTAGCGAGTTGTGTGATCTTAACGATTTACAGTGGTGATCGTAGAAAAAATTGTATAAAATAGTATACTCCGCGTTTTTACCCGAGACATCTAGATTCTTGGAAAAAATCAAAACTGTGTAACATTTTGCAATTTAATTTTGAATCTGCAAAACCAATAAATGCTTTAAAATCTGGCAGACGTTTTAAAGTTATGGGAAGTACGGTAAATTTTTAATTAAAATATATTTGTGTCAACTCCCCAAAAGTGATGAGGACATCTCAAAATTTTGCCGAATAAATCATGTCCAAAATGTGTAAAATACAATGAATTTTGTGATTTATCATCGCATTCATTTTTTTTAGAATTACTTATACGGGGTGTCACAAAAAATTAATGAAGGAGTCAATTTGTTTTCTTGATTCCCGAAAATTTGGAGTACAATACTGTTATCATTAGTATTACACATCACAAAATTTTGTATAGGAAAAATTCATTTGAAACATACACGTAGCATGCTTTTTATATTACATAAAAACAAATAAAAAATTATAATTTTTAGAAAAAGCTGGATATGTTTTACAGAAATTCTGGGGTGAGGAAAATCATCATCATTAAATTGAACTCATGAACAATTTTGTTAAATCCTATAACAAAAGAACTATACGTGCTAGAAAATTTTAGTTGCCATATCTGCTGTCTACGGACGTTATTTGACAGTGTATAGTTTATTTCATTAATCATTAGATCAAAAATTATAAAGTTTCGCTTATAGTGTTCAGTGACAGGTGACAGAATTCACAGATACGAATAAAAACCCTTAAATAAAAACAACTATTTACAATAATATCGGGTGACTATTAATAATTGAAGCAAAGCAAATTTTTGGGTTGACAATTCTGAATTATTGGTAGTAATGTTAGCATGTCAGTTTACAGTCTTGTCATGAGCGCGCCTAAAAACCAATGAGAAGATGGCAAAATTGAATTTGTCATCAGGGGTGCGATTTTGTTTCTCGATCGAAGCGATAAAATAAATGTCATTACGTAAGTTTTAAATGCAAAAGTTTGCATTTATTCTTTGCATATAAGCTTATTAAATGCTCAAAAGTTTACAATGACCTTAATTTTAAGAACTTATAACTCAGAATTACGATTTTGAACTTCTATTTTGACATAAATTTCGAGGTTATGTCTCCAAAATTTATCACTTTACTCAGAGCTATCGATAAAAGATCGTTGCATGAAGACTTGATTTCGTGACAGAATCGAGAAATGTGACAGAAATGTAGCATCTCAACCAATCAGCAAACGAGATTTTATCGCTAACGGGTTTTTTTCGATCGAGAAACAAAATCGCACCCCAGGTATCTCAGTATAAAATTTTAAATATGTTGCCAATATAACCAAAAAAAAAAAATCTAAATAATTAACAGTCACTCGCTGTTACGTTGGCAATGGTTTGATAGATTGTTGTGGCCACTTGGCCAGTTAAACCTTGCAAGTCCTTATGTAACTAGTTTATACAGAACTAAATGGAAATATTCTGTTTTTATTAATTTATTTAAATTTTGCAGCCATTAATACTGCTAAAACAGCAAAGAGTTTTCTGGATTGTTCCTTCTCTTACTTTATTTTGGCACATTGATGAATGTATAGTATTGTCAAAGCCATTCTGGTTACAAGAACAGGATAATTTTTAACTTTCTTTCAATCTGTTACGAAGTACTTTTCCATTTATCTCCTAATGTATACTGTTTTTATTAAAAATCCACCAACACTATGGACCTGCGGAGATATACCTGGATATCAGCAGAGAAAGTTAGGTTAGGTTTCTCTACAAGCGATAAAATTGTTGCATTTGCAATTTAATTTTGCAATTACGGTCTTCAAGATTAATGTCCTGAGAAATAAAAAGCCATTTTTAGTTGTTTTTGTGGAATTGTATTGCCTTTAATCATTTTTTCATAGATTTGTATTGATTTAGAATCAAAGTCTGATTTCACTTGTAAGATTTATTTTATGTTACTACTACCTTACTAGTATAATTACATGTAGTGGGTCTGTATTATTAAAAAACCTCCACTATTGTTAGCAATGATTGTTTTCTAACCATGGATTATATTACAGGAATGAACAAGTATTTCCTCTCACTTCCATACAAGTTCTTTGAACAGCACCTGTATAGGAATTTAACACATGTGAAATCGGTCTCTAATGGGCAATTTTAAACTTTGTAAGTGTTTTATTCTTCGAATATCCCAAATAAGCACTTTAAAGTAAAATAAATTAACCAAATTGATACGAATAGACGTGAAAGAACTCCACGTTTTCACTTTATAAATACTGTAAAACTTTTCCTTTCTTATTTTCATACACGAGCACTCCAAAAGTGTTGCACCGAAAAATCAATTACCATTTCCTTCGGTTGAAAGCACAAATTTCTTTAAAGAGTTTTAAGGAAGGAAGCGGGAAATATTCGTCCGGTTTATCGAGAAAATGAAAGCTCGCAGTTATCTGATAACATCAAGAAAATCAGCGAGCGGAAGATGCACATATTGAACATATAACAAACTGCGGCAAGCAAAAACCGGTAAAACACATAATGAGCATTTAAATCATAACGAAGCAGCATTTATGCATGTTCGGTGTTTCCTTTTCCCCTTTGTTTACTCACTTGCAGCTGGTATCCCTAAACTGGCGGCCTGGCTCGCCGCCACCGAGAGCGTATTGGTATAGGCGTTGCTGTAGGCCGCCGCCGCGGCCGTGGAGGTGGGATAGGAGGGCATTCCCCGTCCCGTTGTCGGCGGCAGCATTCCGAAGGGAAGCGACGGATGGGGCGGCAGGCCGAAACCGCCCCCGGCCGCAAAAAGATTGGCGGCGTTGGCCGAATTCGCATCGCCCCGCGGCCAGTAAGCTGCGAAACAAAAAACACATCGCATTAACAAAATAAAAGCGGTCTCTTATTTTTCGGACTCACCTCCGAAGAGACTGCTGGGGTCGAGGAGGGACGCGGGGTCGGCGGGAGTTGACACTTTGCTGGAACCTGAATTACTTTCGGCGCCCTTACCATTTTCTTTATCCATTTCCAGTCCACTGTACTGAAAAATTTCGGACCGATATGAGTGCGGGGTCCTGTGTTGGTCGATTCGATGCAGACGAGGTTCGAATTGTGAAATTTTACTATTCTGTCAATTTTTCACGTTTGTTTTAAAGTCAAACCAAATAATTAGCGTTTTCGAGGGAAAAAGGCGAGCGGAAAGAGGCGGCTGTGCGCCTAATTTTAAAATTATGTTTGTGATATCAGCGGCGGCTGACTGTCGTGGATTTCGAGCGCAAATTTCGAGGTAAAATTTGTATATTTCATGCAAAAATTATTAAATGGAAGGACAGATTCTTTGTAATTATGAGTTCATTATAAACATTCTTGTTAACTTTGTTAAATTAATATTGGCTAATTTAGAAAATTCACTGACTTCAAGATTAAGATTATGTATTTTGACGAGGTAAACAGCGCCAAGTATATTATATACAAAGTTATGTATTATTTTCTTTAATTCAGATGGTCCTCAAAAAATATGTATAATAAAAAAAAATGAAGTGTTTTGTTCTTATAAAAGCTCTGTTACACACAACTTAAATGCCACTGTAGTCCAGTTAAACCGGCGTTAAAAAATAGACAACAATGCGTATTGGATAGGCAGCGATTTTCTTTTTAGGTTTATTTAATACACGGTCCGTGAGTTTAAAACTGTGTTTTCGAGATTGGGTGTATTGTCAGAATCACCATTTTGAAAATATGGGTGCAATTATTTTTTTCAATTAACTCCCTAACCGTAAGTCTGACAAAAATGTTGTCAAACCGAATTTTTCTATAATATTGGTCCGGAACTATGTTTTTCGAATCAGTTCGTCAAGATCTATATCCCAAAATTTGTTGAGGATTTCGAGCACCCTTCGAAAGCTACCCAAGACATTTTCTTGTAGGTTTCGATTTGTAGAAGTTAATTTCGGCTTCACTTATTCAAAAATTCCTACAATTTTTCCAAAATCGATAAAATGAAAACTAAGAACTTTCGGGATAAAAAAATCATTTCCTAATCTAATTTTTTGAAATCTTGGTCCGGAACCACGAACACTTGATGTTTTTCGAAACAGTTCGTCGATCTAGTTCCTAGAATTTTTGAGGATTTTTAGGCAACTTTTCAAAAATCCATTTTTTCAATACCTCCTTCCCCATGACCGTTTTTGGAGAGTGTAACATTTCTCGTAAACTTCGATTTGTAGAAGTTATTTTCGATTTCAAAAATTCCAATAAAATTTTCCAGGATTCATTAAATTTTGGAGGAAAAAAAATCATTTTCAAACCGAATTTTTCGAATACCTTCGTCTGAGGACCACTAACGCTTCATATGTTTGGAATCAGCTCGTCGAGATTTATATGTATATCCCAGAATTTTTTGAGAAGTTCTGGGCAATTTTTTAAAAATCTCAATTTTTCAATACCAGTATGAATTTTTTGACAAAATTTGGACACTTTTCCAAAATTATACAATTACATTTTCTTGTAGATTTTGACTTATAGAAGGTAATTGCGGTATCATTTCTTAAAAAAATTCTACAATGTTTCCAGAATTCGTCAAATGTGAAAATCAAACCCGAATTTTTCGAAAATTTTGGTACGGGACCCATTTACACTTTGTATTTTTTCGAATCAACCCGTCGAGATTTATATCCCAGATTTCTTTTAGGATTTTTAAGCGATTTTTTAAAAATCTCAATTTTTCAATACCAGCATGATTTTTTTTAGTGTTTTTGGGGGACTCTTTCGAAAATTACTCAGAAATTTTCTTGTAGATTTCAACTTGTAGAAGTTATTTTCAGCTTCATTTCTTCGAAACAACAATTTTTCCAGAATCGATAAAAAGAGAAATGATAATTTTCTAGATATTTAAAAATTTCCCCTTTTAAACCGAATTTTTCGATAATCTTGGTCCGGAACAATTAACACTTTGTTTTTCGAATCAGTTCGTCAAGATCTATATCCAAACTTTGTGGAGGATTAGCAGGCAAGTTTTCAAAATCTCAATGTCTCAATATCCCCCAATTGGAATTTTTTGACAGTTTTTCGAGCACCCTTTCAAAAATTACAAGACATTTTCTTGTAGGTTTCGACTTGTAGAAGTTAATTTCGGCTTCATTTATTCAAAAATTCCTACAATTTTTCCAAAATAGATAAAATGAAAAATCACAACTTTCGAGATAAAAAAAATCATTTTCAAACCGAATTTTTCGATTATATTGGTCTAGATCCACTAACACTTCATATTTTTGGAATCAACTCGTCGAGATTTGTATCCCAGAATTTTTTGCGGCAATTTTTCAAAAATCTCAATTTTTCCATACTAGTATGAATTTTTTTGAGCATTTTTGGAGACTCTTCGACAATTACCCTATGACATTTTCTTGTAGGTTTTGACGTGTAGGAGCCAATTTCGGCATCACTTCTTCAAAAAAATCTAACAATTTTTCCAGAATTCATCAAATGAAAAATGACAATTTTAAAGATAAAAATAAAACATATTTAAACGGAATGTTTCTAAAATTTTGGTCCGGGACTGATTTACACTTCATATTTTTATAACATCTCAGAGTTTTTTGAAGATTTTTACACAATTTTTCAAAAATCTCAATTTTTGATCGTTTTTGAGGGCTCTTTTGAAAATTACTCAAAGACATTTTCTTGTAGATTTCAACTTGTAGAAGTTATTTTCAGAGAGAGACAGAAAAATGACAATTTTCGAGATATTTAAAAAATTCCCCTTTCAAACCGAATTTTTCGAAAATCTGACAGACAGAAATAAGAAGTTTCAAGTGGTGCCTGACGTCATTGAAATTACCTACCAATGCAGAATATGAGAGTCAGAACTAAACCAACATGGTTTTTAATTTTAAGCCATTTCCACTTAAAGTATGTTGAACCAACATTTTGTATACATATGTAGTCTGTGCTCTGACAATTTACATGAGATTTAATTGAGAATTTTGTCTTAACGTATCAAATACGGAACCTTTTAGTATTTTCGAAACTTCTATGCCTAAATTTTAACAGGCTAAAAAATTAAATCATATTTAGCTTCCTTACATACATCAATGGAGTTTCTCGTACTTCTTTGAACTCAGTATGTAGCGATACATTGGAGTTTTTTAAATTACTCGTGGAACCAAGTGATAGTAAGGTTAACGGCAACGACACCACTTTTGTATACTAATAAAATTGTATAACCGAAAGTGTCTAATCCATACCAACTGAGATCTGGTGGTCGTCAAACTCGAAACAGTGGCATATTTGTTTGCTCTATAACGATTTTAACTGAATCTTCTTCGAAGAAATGCAGTAAAATGCCAATTTTTATATTTTAATATTTGACATTTAAAATTTCTTACGTTTCCACGATTATATAAAAATTGTACAATGACTTAAGTGTGTTCGTAATATGCTCCAAATTGAAAACTACAAATGCTAGAAAGTGCACTTTTCCCTGTTCTCAAATAATTTTCATTCATTACTTTGTTTTTATGAAAGATAAACTTTTATGTTTAGACGAAGAATACTGATAACGCTTTCAAGAAATTTGAACTATCAAGCAGCGTATTCTCGTCATTTTATTTATATGATGTTCCATAAAAATTATATAGCAACAAAGAAAACTTGAAAAAAGTTTTCTTATATTTCTTCCTACACCACGACAGCAAAAATTGCATTCATAAGCACACAAGCTAGAACACCTTCGAACATTCTAGTGGATTTTTTTATTATTCCTTGCTGTCTATTATTCATGTAATTTATCTAGTTGGCTTTTATTTTCAAGGTAAATTGTAGTGTTGGTAGATCATAAAAACGTGAATGAAGCACAAACTTGCTTCTACTTTTAACGACACTTTTTTATTCAAATACTGACAATAAAATTAATCTACCACTCGATATGAAAACACAAATTAGAAATCATGAGGATCACGAGAAAATAAAAATTGTTACATTTTTGTTATTGATATTGATTATCCCCCAAATTGAACACCGAATACGAAATCAAGTAAAATGGACGATATGACAGCAGAACAAGAGTTGAAGAGGCTTCAATTATGAGCAAAATCATGAATTCTTTTAACTCTGTACAAACATATGTAAACTAATTTATTTTTAATTATGTTAGTAAATTAGTCTAATCACTAATTTATGAGTGAATGGAATTGATTCTTAATTAACCTGCTCGTTAATCTCGTTTACAGAAAAGAGTTGTACGTTTGTTAATAATCTTCTCATTGATTTCCACCAACACAGCAATTTACCTCGAAAAATTAATAAATATTCAAAATTTATGCCCAAGTCTCAAGCATCATAATAGAAAAAAACAAATTTATTTCAAAGCTAAACGCTAAACGCTACTTGACAGACATACAATCAACAACTTTCAGAAGATAAAATTCACCAGCTGCGAGACCACAATTTCCTATTTTAGACGAAACCTGTGCACAATCTACTGTGTACATCCGAACATAAACATGCCTTTTCTGCATGTGTTCAGAACGCTTTATGGACATTGAAATCATATTTCACAAATTTTAGAACCAATCTTCTCGAATCACCGAAGTCTGGTTCCTGAGCGAATTTTACCTCAAAACTACTCACCTATTATTTATTTTTGGAACTGCTGCCTCCAGAAAATCCGCGGCTTCAGCCCATTTTGCCGGATTGCGTCCTGAAAACGAAATTTTCATTAGCGAGATTCCAAGGCTTTTAAATAATGTCGAGGGTTTTCGGAAACATGCACAAGTTGTTATTTTTGGAATTATGAATCGTCAAAATGATGGCGTGCTGTTTGTTCTTTAATTACCACCTTGTTTCCATGGGCGGCGGCAACATAGAGGCAGTCACAAACGCCCCCCAACGTGGCCTATATCGATTCGTTTCTAGATTAGTCGTAATTACATTAAATGTTCTAGAGATCTATTTAATAATAGATGCGCTTGAGCCCCAACTCACAGAAGTGTTGCTATGAAGCAGTTTATTAGAATTATTTCAATTATGAAACGGTAAAATGCGAAATGCGGTCTAAGAGTGGTTGGTATGGACAATGAAAACAAAACTAACACCAAGAATTATCCCCAGAGCGTTTAAACTTTGATTGTTTGTTCTAATAAAGGTCAAGATTTTTAATTAAATGATGATCGCAGTTTTAGCTCAATAATTATACGTAACGAATTGCAAAACCCTGTTCGATATCTTCGTTACTTTGATATTTAAAACGAGAATACAGATGTACATGGTTCGTGTATTGTTGGTTGCATAACTTTATCAACATTCCTATACTGACGGAACATTTATTTTAACTTCATTAATATACAAAATTTTTTCAACACTAATTTTTTTAGTAAGTAATAATCTAGTATGATTAATGCTCTAGCTCTATCATTTGTCAATGCATGTTAATTAAATCTGCATAGTGCACTCGTACAATAACAATGGAACATAAAAAAACACTATTAAATAACAACTCATTTGTGCGAAATTTAAACCCAATTAACTCAGACATCTTCAAGAATCACACTAACAAATCTTTAAAAATCCGCATCGAAGTCTATTCGGGCCTTAAAAATACGTGCTGATCCAAATTTGGCAATACGAAATTATCTTTACCACAGATTTAACGAACAAAAAATCAATACTGACGGTACCATTTCGCGTTTGTCAAGTCAATGCCCCAGCATTATTATAACCTTGTTAACAAACCACAAACGCAAACAACGGTCCTCCACACATCCACAATGAATCTTTTCAAAGTCGAAAGTCTACTGAACTTATTGTTCCCAACAAGAATAATAGACCACGCAATACTAATTAAAAGCATGTGCGTTACCTAGACGAAATTTGTTATTACAATGCATCAACGAACTTAAAATAGCCACACTGCAAAAAAACCGCGACATTTTTTCGCAGCTAGTTCACCGTAATCATGTAAATGAAGGTCAGGGGAAAACTGGGAGGGTGAACTTGACCTGGTGGAATGATGGCGGCCATGACCTTCGACCCAGATTAGTTCTCCCCTTGATAGTGTGAGTGGGTGGCAATCGGACTAACCTCTTTAATTTCAACGTGGAAAAAGGAATGTGGCGAGGATTTTGAACGCTAACGATTTCGCTATATGGTGTAGTAACGTTCTCTTTATGCACCAAGAAGTCGAACATGACGTTCGGCATTATCGCTCCGAAGAGGTGAACGATCTTTGGTAGTCTTGAGAAATTTCAGTTTCATCTCTCCTAAATGAGGGAACCATCAAGTCGGGTGTACCAAACGGGAAACGAAACAAAGCGATTATAACAGCGCATAAAATTAGAGGATGGAGATACATTCCTGATGGTGAAGGAGGTAGCGATATGTTAACATTTACGTGGAAACTAAGACGACGACCATATGGTCGCCTTTTCGCCTTTTTACTGGGTAATGTCATGCGATGCTAAAAATGCACCGGTGGGATGTTAGAAATTCCATTCAAATGCAAACGGTTTTTCCTTTTTAAAGTAATTCCGTAAGTGGGAAGCAAGAAGGCACGAAATCTTTACTGTTATATATCTATATATGCGGTTTTCTTCAAATAATGTTACATTATTTAAATGCTATATTAACTATTGCACCAAAGATCAAATAAAAAAGAATACGGACCGTCAAAATGCTATTGCAAAAACAGTGTTCAAAAAGAAATTGTAGAACTAGCAGAATGCAGCTTTATAATTATTATTAAACATGATCTACTTCATTCTTCAGACAAAAAAGAATTTTCGAGAATTCCTGTGGTTTCAACTTTATACATAGGTAGGAATGGCCAAAGCGGTGTTGTGTTTACTACCACATAATAGAATCACCTTACAACTAAAAATGTTAAATAATTTAATGTTAAACATTTTTATGGCAGTTTTATTAGCTGCGACGTAAAAAGCAACAAACAGTGTTAATTAATCCTTCGATTTTACTTCAGGAACTTGAAAATAAACGACGGGGGGCCGTTTCATCATAACAGATTCCTAATTATATTTAACTAAGGAAAAATGCCGAAGATTTTTAAAACATTAAACATAAACAATAACTTTTTCTACAAATTTTTCGACCCACTTACATAAAATTACAAAAATAAAGTGACGAATGACTTCAACTAAAACAACGGTGTAAAATTTGCATTACAAATTAGGTAAAATTAATTTATTAAAGCTACAAATAAACGTTAATCATAAACATGATAATGTTCAACTATTAATTAATTAGTGGACCACCTATAGATGTGATTTTTTAGTTAACTGTTTCGGGCCTTGTTAATTGCTTAATAAAATTAAACTTGCAAGGTTATAAAACAGGTACATCACTAAAAATTGGTTTAATTAGTGTAGTAGGTTAACAGCTTATCTAACTGATTAGTAAAATATAATACTGTATCTTCAGACGATGTTCAAAACTGTAAATTCTCACCACTTAAAAATTAACACTTAACTAAACTAAAGCTGAATCATTAATAAATGTTGTAAGCGGATAAAAGCTGTAATTTTAATCTGTATAAAGTACTTGAGTTCTAGTAATCGTCAGTTTTTAACAAAATTCTGGAACATGTACCAAGAATTTAAAATGTATAAATGTCAACTTATCTAAGTAAATGAGGTAATAGTTGTTCTATATGATGTAAGTGTTGATGCACATGGATCGGTGATTTTTTCGGCGGCCGTTCTAGAATTTAGAAAACCAATAAATAAGAGTAAATTGTTTCTTATAATGAGCTAATAAAACAGATAAAATCAATTTTGGAGGCAAACTAGTTGAACAAACGAAATTTATTGACGTATTTGCTTCTACAAAGTAATTACATGGGTATGTAATTATCAGGGCAAAACAATTTAGAAACTATTAAAAAGGGACTTCTTATTTTATTAACTTTAACTATTATTACTTACTTGATTATTCCAATAATAAACACAAACACGATACTACTTTTAATACTAATTTTAAAATAATATCATCATTAAGAGGTCATTTTTATCGAACATTCCGTATGAATTGGTTGGTTTAATGACATATTCATTTACGTCCACTTGTCTCTGGCTAATGTATTTAGTTGTTATAAATAAATCATTCACATTTAAACTGCAAAATATTGTTTTTACTGGTCATGTAAACATTATTCCGTTTCTTTACTTTGTTCCAAATTTCAAAGAGTTTTGTATAAATAATGACGTAATTATTACAAGAGAAATGTGACGATTCAAGTAATTATTTAAGGGAGTAATTCTGTTTTTTTTTTTTTTAATTTACACACAGTTAACGGCGCCGGCGGCAGTTAAATGAGTCAGAAATAAAATTTACATTAATCAAGGATTTAATTAAAATATTATAAAAATAAATTGTTGTTTTGTGACAGCTGTTTAGCTTTCACACTGATACAAAAAAATTAGTCGTAAAGAGTTTTTCATTTTGAAAAATACGCAAAAATGTGACAAATTTCTGTACTTCTGTTATAAGAAATAGGGACGAATAGCAAAGTCTTTGTTTGTTTGATCGTAAACACAAGGATGGATTTGTTTTATTTGAATGTATAGAACTTTATTACCAAATTTTGGGAAAAAAATTGTTACGTGTGCTTGGCAACAATGGGTTGTGGACAAAAATAGGGGAATCTGAAAATGAAGAACGAGTTGGTTCCAAAGAAAATCAGGATGGAAGTGGAAGAAGAACAGAAGGGATTTATAAATCCGGCTTTTGAAAGCACATGTGACGAACCAAGAGGAAAAGAAGAAAAAAAATAGGTAAAACAGATGGAACAATGGAAAATACTTTTCGGTGTTGCGGAACAGGAAACAGGAAAAAATAATTCAAAAAAATGCAAAAACAAGAACAAACGTAAGGAGAGTTCTGGCATAGAAAACCTAAATTTTGACACAATGGATGCTAGTCAAAATAGCTACAATGACAGCACTTTTGAAATTAAACGAAAGAAGAAAAAGAAGAATTGGGAGTTGATAGTCTCAGTTTTGTAACTGCATGACAATAGCCAAAAAAGAAAAAGCGTGAGATTTAATATATTTATAGATTATATACTGCGTGATGAACAAATACGGTTTGAGTTGGCAATAGAATTAACCAATTCTGGGAAAATTTTCTTGCGCAGCTATTGTCAAACTGACTTTTAAGGGTTCAAAAAAGTTTAGTTATGATATTTTAATAATAATCAATAACAAATTTTGACGTAAATTAAATGTCGCTGTCAATAATGTCTTGACAACAAGAAGTAAGGTGGAGAGGCAGGTCTCAATTTCAATTTCAATTTGATACCAACTGGAACAGTACTTGTTGATCATTCTGTATTTGTAAGAATGTAAAATTGCAAAGAAAGAAAAAAAGGAATTAGAATTGAACTTTTGAAAATTTTGTCATCCAACACATAAATATCCACGTAATTTTTAGTTTTCACTTTCTAAAAACTTGAGACGAATTTTCCACTTGTTACGTTATTAGTACAAACACTGAAATTTAATTAGCGTTTCATTCAAGCTTTTTCAATAAGCGTTTCTTTAGATCCGCTTTCCATAATTCCAACAAACTAAAACAGCTTTCATTTAGACATTTTACTTCCAGAATGAAAATTTGCAAAATTTTTATTTTTTCCAAAATGTTTGGACAGAATAATTAAGATAAAGACGTAACAGCAAATTGGAGTATTTT